TATTACAATTTGAATTTGAATATGACGGTAACCAATTAGTTGACGTGTTTTAATTTGATCGATTGAGAAGACCAGTCAGAAGACAATCGTGTCTGCCGAAGTCAAAAATCGGTCGGTCGACTAGCTATAATTGAGCGCCCTTGTAAGGAGCATTTAGGCGATCATGACTATCGACGTGATCTGCAATTTGAAATTTTTATCATTGTATGTTGGTTGACTCCGATCGGGCTGTCTGTCGACCATTGTATAAACGATTCAGATCATGCCACTATTTTGGGCAGCTCAATTGCTGTGACATTAGTGTTGACAATTAAGTAATTATTTGTTATTTCTCTTCTAATTGTTCATGTTAATTATCATTTTATTATAACACTACCTTAAATTAATATTATTTTTTTTCTTTTATGTTGAACAAGCCAGCTCGAATTTATAGAATCAAGCTTGAGCAGCTCGAGCTTGAGCTCAAACTCGATAAAATTAATCAAACTCAAACTCAAATTAAGAACGAATCAAATTAAACTTGACTCATTTTCACCTCCTCCTCGTAAAAAGGGCATGACAAAAGGAACAAATAATTTCTAAAAAGTAAATAATAATCATTTCGGCGATTTCGTCGTGGAGTCCAGCGTTGAAATCTTAAAAGCCCCTCTCTCCAATCCCATCCAATCCGCGCATAAGATTTAGGTCATTACGCAGCCTGCATTTTTCCCCGCGATTTAAGTAATCTATCAACAGTCATCGAGTCAACACGATAGAGAAAGAGAGTAGAGCATCCACTGTTGTCTTTTTCTCTTTTAAAAGTGCTGCTGTAGCTCCGAAGAAGGAGAAGACGGTTCAGTGCCAGTCTGCACAGGTGCTCATCAGGCAGATGTATCATGGGTATTGCTTGCCATGGGCCCATCCAATGCATGCCTGCAACGCTTTGAAGCTCTCGGCGGAAGGACCAAAGGAAAAGACATAATAGATGTTTTGTCTGTGCTTTTGGAAGGCATCTTGTTCATAACCTTCTCCTTTGTTCTTTTCTCCTCCATCTCTCTCTCTTTCTTGAGTTTCGGGTTCGGTTGAGAACCCCCCGGAGAGTTCGAAATTTGGTTCTTTTTCCGAAGAGGATTTGGTATTTGTTTAGAGTTTGGTGGATTAGGGTGTTTGTGGTGTCATTTAGATTTGAATTTGTTGTCTTAGTCAGCAGTTCTTTTTGTTTGGGTGGTTCAGGTCTGTGGTAGCTGCTGTTTGCTCTATGTTCTGCTTGGGAGCTATGTTGTAGTTGAGTTGTTCGAAAATGTGTAACTTTGTATGGTTTTTTGGGTATTTATGGCTGATTTTTCAGCTTATCTGTGACTTTTAAGGGGTTTGGTGGTCAACTTCTATAGGCTTTCTCTAAATGCTGTCCTGGTTAGAATTTTATCGTCTGTTTTTTCTTACTTTTTGCTTTTCAGTGTATTTTTTTTTGTTTCCTGGTAATTGGAGTATGATCTTGGAAATTTAAGACTAGAGTTGGCGATGCTTTTATCCCATTACCCCAAACTGCTCTTTTTTTTTTGCTTCCCCTTGGGTTATTTTTTGGTGCTATCTAAGGAATTAGTAGCTTTTTGATTGAGGTTCTTTGTTGGCGTCATAGGCGTTTGAGTCTGCTTGAGTTGTTTATTTGAAAATTTTAATCTGTTCAAGATGGCTTGCGTGAAGCTAGGCTCAAAAATGGACACTTTCCAGCGTCAAGGATGGGCTTGGTATGTTAAACTCCATCCATACTTACCTGGTGCTTTGTCATAATACTTCTACTGCAATGTTTAAATATTATTTCTGCTGAAGATGAGCTTTTTTTATACATTTTAGAATGCATATGTTTACATTCTTTGTTTTTCAGCTTTGAGAATTTAGGCATCTTTTGCCGATTTATATGCATCTACTGCTTAGGAAGACTTGTTCGACCCTTGTCTTTACAAAAAAAAAAAACGTGTACAATTTATGGTAGTTAGATGGAGTTGCAGTTGAATTATTGTAGTATAATGGGACATGCTGTAGCATCTGGAGTGGTTCTTTATCCTCTTTTACAATAAAATAAACAGAGAGACAAATAGAGAAATTTATTCAAGAGACCGACTTGCTACTCTTTTGTAGGGGAAGATCATGAAGGTTGAAAGTTTATAGCATGTGTTATCGAGGTACAAAAAAAAAGTTTGGATCTTGTGGATAGTGCATGAGATAGAAAAATCACTCACATTAAACACCTGAAGTTATTGTTTTATTCATGTGTTATTGAAGTGCTTTCCTTTTAAATGATGAATTGTCTGGAAGGATAAAATTGCGTTTGCGATGCTTCATGTTGTTGAAGCACATAGGGCATGCTTTCACCTCTCTAAGCATGGACTAAGAAATCAGCCATTGGAAAGAATATTTTAAATAGGTTGATATTGTGGTTTAGGCCAAGTTTTCATTGGGTTGTCCTTGGGCAGTGAAATTGATTTCCTATAAGGATGGGAATAATTGCTCCATTTAGATGTTTAGATAACATTTTTGGCTTCTTACAGAATCTATATCTATCTTGATCTTAGACCCTGGCAATGCTGAGCTTTCTTGTCCATTAGTAGTTATTCTTGAATATAAACCAGTTTGCTATGTTATGCATGCCATTGCAAAATTTGGTTTAGGCCAGTTTTCATTGGGTTGTCCTCGAGTAGTGAAATTGGTTTCCTCTAAGGATGGGAATACTTGCTACATTTAGATGTTAGAGAACATTTTTGGCTTCTCTCATAATCTATATCTATATTAATCTCAGACCATGACATTACTGAGCTTCCAGGCCCATTAGTAGTTATTCTTGAATATAAACCAGTTTGTTATGTCATATATACCATTGCAGTATCCTTCAAAATATATTTTAGACATCAAGGCTATGCTTACAAGTTTTGATGATTGTCATTCATTCCTTCTTCAATAATTGAAATATGAAAGAGCTAGCATGTGTGACAAAACTTTTCTAAAAGGCCCTATTTGATCATTAAGTGCATAATACTTATTTAGACTACATATAAGCTTACAATCATTAACATAAATGGATTGTGGAATTAGTCCTATACTTCTACAATCCATCATCATCATTAGTATTATCCCAATGTTTTGTCATTTTCATGAATCCTCCCTTTATTCACATTTAATAATCACAAGGTGTGAGCTCTATTTGTTCAAGTTTTTCTTACAACATTTCTTATTTGTAGTCTATATTTATCTCTTTCTTTTTCCACATTATTTATTTATGCTCATCATATTTGTTTATCGTCTGCACCTATTTTACATGGTCAAATAACACATTTTCCACTATGGTGATACTCACATTGTCCTTCTAAAATAATAATATTTATTTATCCTTTTTTATTTTCGCCACAATTAAATCTTGATATTCTTAGTTCTGATATTCTTAACTCGATTGTTCTTAACTTTTTTGATATTCTTAACTCGATTGTTCTTAACTTTTTTGATATTCTTAACTCGATTGTTCTTAACTTTTTTGATATTCTTAACTCGATTGTTCTTAACTTTTTTGATATTCTTAACTCGATTGTTCTTAACTTTTTTGATATTCTTAACTCGATTGTTCTTAACTTTTTTGATATTCTTAACTCGATTGTTCTTAACTTTTTTGATATTCTTAACTCGATTGTTCTTAACTTTTTTGATATTCTTAACTCGATTGTTCTTAACTTTTTTGATATTCTTAACTCGATTGTTCTTAACTTTTTTGATATTCTTAACTCGATTGTTCTTAACTTTTTTGATATTCTTAACTCGATTGTTCTTAACTTTTTTGATATTCTTAACTCGATTGTTCTTAACTTTTTTGATATTCTTAACTCGATTGTTCTTAACTTTTTTGATATTCTTAACTCGATTGTTCTTAACTTTTTTGATATTCTTAACTCGATTGTTCTTAACTTTTTTGTTATCACTTGGATCCATATATTATATATTGCATTTTCTATTTATGGTTTTATCAAATTTTATTTTAAGGTCTCCAATATATTTTTTAGTCACATAATACTCTTGAGGTTTTTTTCATGTTGGTTGTTTTTATTTTTAAGAGTCATGTTCTCAGATATATATCCCTTTTTCATTAGATAACAATATACTCAAGACAGTTAAACTCAACACTTCTAAGTATCACTTCATGTTTTAGTAAGATTGATTGATTATTATCTTTTTTTTGCATTCATTAGAAGTGAATACCTTAAAACTTCAATCTTGTAAGTTTTTTTTTTTTTTTCACTATCTTAAGTTTTCATTTACTTTCAAAGGAGATGTAACTTGTCATAAATATATCTATAAAAAGCATTTGCTAGAGCTTTTCAATTTACTAATCCTTTGAAGCATCACTTGTTTTCCCTTTTTTTATTTAAAATACTCGTTTCAATGTCCTTGTAGAGGGAACATCACTTGGAAATCGTGTTTGTGATATCTTCTTTTTATTTTTGTGTTAGATTATATTTTGCTTGTTTGTAGTTTTTGAGAAAACCTTGCTAACTCGAAGGGAAAGAGAGAAGGTGACTAAGAGAAGGGTAGAGAGGAAAACTGAATAATGGGAAATTCATTATAAGCCATCGACAATAGTATATTAAATAAGGGGCCAAAATAAAATAAAAAAGTGGAGCCTCCAGCCCACTACAAAACTCCCTTTTTATGGTTAGGGATCTGAGTTTGATCGTTATAATATTGGCTATAGACTACAAATATAAAATAGTACGAAGCACAGGAGACATATAACCTAAAAAATGACTCGAACTTAGATTAGTAATCGATTATTGAATTTGAGAAATTCATCAGCTTTCTCAGTGGTAGTTGCTGAATAGTTCTCTGAGCTTGGGTGACTGTCTGAGTTTAGTTGATCCAGTGGATCCTTTGGTAGCATTGAGCAAGTTATTCATAAACTTAGTGGATATATCTCCATAGTTGGCTAATGAGCCCACCTTGTTTCTACTTTGTCAATGCCTTGATATTGGCTAACGAGTCCTTATGTGATATGTTTGGCAAGTATTTGAATTGGCTGTGTGAGTCCTCTTGTGACTCAGTTGGTGTTTTTCTTAGGCTTGGCTTATCATGTCTTCTTCGATCTCACTTGTGTGTTTGTTATGAGCTCGGATTGGCAAGTGTCTTCTTGCCTTCCGTCAAGGTGAGTAGTTTTTTTCTCCCTTAGCATGCATGTTTTCCCAATTTTCTTATTTATTTAAAAGAAGAATCTGATAATGAACAAGAGATGATAAAAATACGATCCTTTTGTATGTAAATAGACTAAATTCTTACCTCTCTTCTCTAGGCTAGTTCCATGCTTTTCTACGTTGAAATTGTTGCTTTGTTATTCTGTAAAAAACTAATTAATGCGATAATTGACATTTATAATACACGAGAAAAGTAGGTAGCATAATTTAAGAAAAGTTTATACAAGATTCTATTGTAAATTTGATCATTTTGCTATGTGGAGTTATTATGGGTTTCTTATCAATGGTTCTCATTTCGTTGAGAGAAGTTTACAGAGCTTTGGCATCTTCTTCTTCTTCTACCAATTAAGCTCTACAACTGTGAAAATGAAGATTCTGACAAATAAGCTTGGCATTTCCACGGAGTCGCTAGCAGATAACATTAAGGAAATGTAGATAGAGAGTACTGAAAGAAGAAAGAAGATAAGGTAGCCAGGAAGGAACTCGTCGAGGTGAGTAAGAAGAGCGGGTTGGTCAACCCTATATCTACAACGACTTCAATTATAATTATTGTTAGTGAGTCTCCTTAGGTGGTATTCGCTCAATAGCTAGTTTTCAAGTTTTGACAATGTAGATGGGCAAGAATAGTCTTATTTGGACTTTGAATATTGATGTTGTGTTAGGGTCCGTTTGGGGCAGCTTATTTGGAGCGGTGGCGTTTTGAAAACACACCTGACCTGTATGGGTAAACAGCGTTTTGGCAGATTATGCGTTTTGAAAACGCTGAAAACAACATTTTTACACCGCACCTGTCTAGGTGCGGTGACAGCTTTCTGGCTGCGATCTCGCTTTTCCAACGCTTTTCCAAAAAAATAAAAAATTTTAATAGCTACCGCACCTAGCTTATTAACAGATTATTTTTAACCAGTTTATCATCAGATTATCCAATAAGCTGCAGCTGTCCAAAACAGACCCTTAGTGTTGCCCTTAAACCCTAAATTTTTATGTTAGAGGCGACCTTGGCCACTATGGTCGTTCCAAAGACGAAATTCACCCTAATTGTGATTTGGTTGCCGCTGGGAGGATTGTATTTGATAGCGAGTTATTTTTTCTTTTAAACTTTGAAAAAAATATTTTTTCTAGTTTTTTTTCCCACTAAATGATTCATAGAGAATCATTTTATGACTAGAATTTTAGATGACGATTACTCTCAAGCAAAAGTTTCCCTCCCTATGCTCTGATGAGTATGTTGTGGAGTTCTTAGGCTTATGACTTGGCATAATACCTTGATGCTCTTTTCTTTAGCAATAAGAATGATTTTGCTCTTGTGATGGTGAGAGAAGGCGAGGAAGTTAACTCACTAAGGCCACTGGGGAGACTCAAATAAGTGACCGCCAAACAATCGTAGTGATTCACCTCTCTAGTAGAGGGTCTTGAAAGTGGGCGGCCTTCATAGCTTATTTTTAAAGTGGAGGCATCAAAGTTGACTAAAAAATTTAAAATGTAAAGGAGCTATCGACCATGATAGGCTAGCTAAAGTCATCCTCCGATTGTCACTAACAAGGCAAGTTGTTAGCGACAAGAGATTGTTTTTTTAGTGACTCTTTTTTTCAGAAGTAAGAATGGATGCAATACAGATGGAGGCGTTGGAGAGGGTGAGTACCCTAAAGTGTTGCCCAAGAGAGAGAGGTTATCAAAAATCTTGGCAAGCTGCTTTAGGAGTTAATGATTGAAATTGTCCTCAATTGGAGAGCTATAGAGTCCTTGAGGTTGAATTAGTTTTTGTCTAGTAGCAAGTTTGTCGTGTAATATTTGTTGAGGAGCAAGCACTTACCCGCCAATATTTTTATCGACATATTTTTAAGTTTTAAATGTTTTTTATAAAGATGATTTGGGTGATGGGACAAGTGAGCCATGACATTATAAATTTTATCTTCTTTTTTTTTTCTTGAAAAAGTTTGTAATAGTAATATAAAGCGCTCATGATGTATTTAAATTTGTTGTACTTTATTTTGCAATGGAAATATTTACTTGTTATGTGTGTAATGTAGTCTCTACTCTTGTTATAACTTTCTTGTATTTCCTATGCATTCTTGTTGTGTCTGCATTTATTGTGCTAGAAATGATAAGTTTTTACTCACTATTATACTTGTTCATTTGTTGTAACAAATGTCTCTTATTAGTTGAATATGAATTGTAAGTGAGTGGCCAAGTAGAGTAAAATGGGAATTCTAATGCAAAGAAATATTTTGAAGTATTAAAATCGCATTATAACATGTTCTATGTAGAGTACAATGAGTTAAAATCATCCTCTTTAATAAATCTCATGATTTTAAAATATAAAATTTGTAGAAATAATCTTGATTAGATGTTCTCGATGGTACATTTCTTTCTCTACAAATAGTCGTTGGTCACTGGTATGGTTACTTTTTTTTGTTCAACTCCTTCATTAGGTAAATCATTTCCACTTCCTTCATAATTGCCTCCTTTTTGAAAATGGTGAGCACTTTGAAGAAGTTTGTTAATAGCAGGAATACAAGATCACAAAATTCTCTGTTGGCTACCAAATTCTCTGTTGGCTACTTAGACAACCCTCATACCAAATGTCCATCTATCCTTCCACTCTTATTTTGAGCATCGAAGGAGTGAGTGACGTTGGGGCTTGAGGCTGAACCGGATCAGCAAGGGATAGGGCAGAACCCACTTGCCTCCTCCCTCTTTTCATTAGACGGGAACTATTCCCCCATTCCTATTTTTGTTTCCCACCTACCTCTCTTCTATTTATATGTTGTTTGTGTTGTTAGGGTCAACTTATATTATTTTCTAATTTCAATTTGTGTGGACAGCCGTCGACATCCAATTTTCCCTTATGAGAGTTGTATCCGACGGATAGGGTGGTACTCCGACTGTAGCGCTCTCCCCAAGTGGTGGTTTATCTTCTTATTATCTTCTTCAAGCTCTCCCCACACCCAACCCCTCCCCATAGTTCTCCTGCTTTGATTTCCGCAGATCCCCTCTTTTACTCTCTGTCTTAACAGTAGTTCCGCTCCCTTTCCACCCTGCCGTAGCAGCAGTTTTGCTCCTTGCCCTCCTTGTCGTAATAGTCCCAAATCTACTCCTGTTGTGCCTCCCTACTCCCTCACCCTCTGTGCGTGGACCCTTCCCGCTATAGGTTCGTGACCTACCCAGTCGTATCAGCTCCCTATCTCCCTATTCTACCATCACTCTTGCACTTGCTGCCTTCCTTGCTGTCACATATTCTCCTCCCTTCCCGTAGCAGCTACCAACATCCCCACTTAGATGACAACCACCTCAAATCCCACATCTACCTCCACACCTGCTATCTACCCCTTATAATGACAAGCCCTTCTAACCTTCCTGCCTTCATTTCCCCACATCCAAATAGCCTACCATCACCAATCCCATTCCCTCTCTCTACTATTCACCTGCTGTCTCGCCACATCTAGAGGTATAGTCATCTTGTTGTGTCTGTCATTTATTTCTCGTGTTAACAAATTTTTATTGTAACCTTTTGAAAATTAACAATAATATTTATATTTTTATGATTTTTTGGGTTAAATCCGGTATCATTTGGTATCAGAGTTAACTAAACTCTAATCCTATCTTAGAATTTCTTAGAGTTTCCTAGAATTCGCCCCTACCCAAGCCACCTTGCCAAAATTTTTCTGCCCTAAAAACTTCGACGGAAGAAGTTGAAGCTCCCCCTACCCCGGGAGATTGATGCGGAAGCGTACCAACTGCGGTACTGTAGCAGTACCGTAGACACATTATTATAGCAGATACAGTAACCATGGTCTCCTTTTCAATTTAGTTGCATTTCCTATTTGATTCTCTTCTTATTTGATTCCCTACCTAAATCCACCCCTTCCTACAATAGCCCCACTTCAAATTCCGTTCTTTTTCTTCCCGCCCTCCTTTATTTATTTCCTATTCTCCCGCTTTCCTAGTCTATCTATTTCCCCCTTATTTATAGGTGTTGATCTACTTTTAGTGAACGAGACTAATCCATCTTAGCCTTCTCAGAAGCCATTGGATATAAGGAGGAAGAAAGAAAAGGTTGATCCAAGAGACAAAAGGCTAGCTCATATCCTTTTTAAAACTGATTTACAATATTGGACAACTTTACTTCAAGTTCCCTGATCTTGAAGGATCTTCATTAATTTGGAAAAAAAAAAAACTCATGGAAATGGAAGAACATATATAAAAGAGGCGCTAAATTCCCTTAAAGGAATCCTAATTCCTTGACAAAATAATTTTCTAACTGCTCCAAAATTATCCCTTACCCAAAGTTCTTAGATCATATTTATCTCTTTCATGGTATAATTGTATATAGATGTTGAAACTACCAAAGTCTAGCCATCTGCTTGTAACTTTCATAATTAAGCTCTTAAAACATGCCACAATATCGGATTACTATGTGATTGTGATCATATGTATATTTTATTGCAGGTTTACCACTACTGGCCTCCCAAGTGATGTTACCATTGAAATTGGAGATTTGTGCTTTCATCTTCACAAGGTGATTGTAAGGCCATTTAATCAGTATGCTTTATTTGATAGCCACACATGTTTTATTCATTTCTTTTCACAAATGAATTATTTAAGGAACTATGGATTTGTGACCGTTGCGAAGTTATGTTTTTTTAAATGAATTGAGCTTGATTGTCTGTGGCCTGGTCCAATAGTTCACGAAGTGTACTTGTAATTTTACAAAGTACTAAATCTGAGCTGTTTGGCTTAGTTAATTAAGGACTTGCATGCAACGTAATTATATCATGGCTTCTTGTGTTTCATTTTTACTAACGGTTTGGCATTGGAGTTGCTGAAGATGTTGAGAAATATGAAAATATTGCTACTATTTCTTTTTATTCTGAATAGAAAGAAAGGGTGCACTTTTTGTAGCCAAAGTTTTCTAGAATATAATTAGGCCATAAAGAGGAAGAAGAAAGAACATCAATTTACAATAAATCGAGTAATTAATTTTGCAAATGCATACTCTTACAAGCTAGTAGAGACCCAGCATGTGTAGGAGAGATTGCGGCCTTACTTGTAGAACAACACGTCATGGCAAGATATGACAGGAAGATAGCCAGCGAGAGTGAATGGAGGTGTGGAGTGATGGGCCAGAAGTAGGTGGGTGGCATGGGCTTTCTTTAGGAATTCCAGGTAGAGCAAGCATATAGCAAGATATGGACTGGTAGCTGGTAACTAGCATGGGCCCTTATTCAGAATTCCACATTCCTTCCAAGATGGGAAATATATGCTTATAATCTTAGCTTGAAATTAAAGTTATAAAATTATGATTGATTAAGAGCTTTAGTAAGGATATTTGTAATCTAAAGTTTTGTTGGAGTATGATTAACTATGGTTATTCTTTGTTCAGTTTCATTTTTTATAAAATTTTTACTAATCTCAACATGCTTAATTCTATTATGATGGAAAAAATTCTTTGTATTGTTAATAGTAGCTTCATTGTCACACTTCATTATCATGGGCTTTTCATTAGAAATTCTTAAATCCTTAAGTAGATCTTTAAGCAACATATCTGTCACCAATTTTATGGGTTACAGCCTTGAATTTTACTTTAGCACTACTCCAAGCTATGATAGGTTACACCCTTTAAATTTTAAGACAGATAAGTAATAACTACATGTTTATTTAACTGCATCTGTTAGTAGGTCCAACCGAAGCATTTTCAGTAATGATTTCTATGCTTGTGTTAGCTCTTTCACGCTCTCTCTCTTTTATTTATTTATTTTTTTCAAAAGCCCTTTTTCCAGATACTTTTTTAAAGTACCTTTTTCATCCAATATAGAGTAGCATGGTGCTTCTTTATAAGGTTATTCATAATTTGACTGAGAATACTAACATAAGCAAATATTAGGTTTAGTATGATATGGTTACTAGTTGTTGATACCTTCCTTTGAAAATAGAGATTGAATCTTTTTTAGTTTCGACTTTGTATAATAGATCCATTGGTGTATTTTCAAGTTTACACCTAAGCATATTGGTTTCTTTCAGTAGGTCTAAGGGTATTTCTATTGTGAGATAAATATTCCTATTCTTGATCATGTTATTTTCATACTTAGGAAAAATTTTAATAAACAAAGTCCCTTGATTTTTAATTCTTTAGCTAGGACACCTTTCAGCTTGTATATTTCTGCTTAAATTTTTGGCGAGATGATATTATCAAACATATACGATTTGGATAGAGTCTTTACCTTTAGATGATTTTGGTAAATAAAGTATAGTAAAGATTGCATTTTGGAGTACCCATGCCTTGTAATCATCATGGTGCTATCAAACTAAACTTTGGATGATTGTTTTAAGCCATACATAGATTTTTTGGAGTCTGCAAATATAGTTCATATTGCTCTTGCTTTCTTAAATCTATTTAAGAAAGAATTTTTAACATCTTAACTTTATTGATGGTGTAGCTAATCTAAATTAGCAGCAAATAAAAGA